CCCTGTGTTGTTTTTAAACAGCGATCGCCGATTTTCAGAAGTTTCTAATGTGTGTCCTGAGATCTAAGTGATCTAGTGATGTGATCAGACTTAAAAGGGTGTGTGAAAGCCAACGGACCTGCCAGTCAAAATGACTAGGTGTCTCATTTAGTTTTACGCACGGTTTGTCATTTATGTACAAAAATGGCGAAATAAATGCGACTATTTGCTTTTAGGAATTATTATCCGAAGTGTTGTTTTAATACATCTGGAGCCCATCAGTTCACCTTAAAGGCCTATTAGACAATAACAGTTAAGTTAATCCTTTCTTTTCTCGGTGTATACATCTTGAGCTTTTTAGTATTTACAATAGCAGATTGGATTTCTCACTGAGCAAATTAAGAAGATGAGGCAATGCAAAAAAGAAAAAAAAAATCGGACTTTGGGTTGGAGCACAGTAACGTTTCTGCCGAAGGCTGTTTTATGCTGCTTTATTATTAAATGAGCCATGCATAGACAAGTTTCGATAACTGACTGGGCTGAGAATAACTATTGGTGTCACATGGCCTTCCCAAGAAGCCGCAGCATTCATCATGAATTAACCACGCCGCCGAGGTATCATTACTTGGGCTCCAGCAGGCTTTTGCCAATTATAGCGTCCCTTTATCGATGGGGTCAGCGCTCACACCTGCGAGGGTGCGCTCCTCCCGATGTCCTTCCACCTCGTGGCGTTCTCGGTGCCACATTTCTGTTCTTATTCAGTGCCCATGATTGTCATGCCCCTTTTGTCGCTTTGCATATGGAAACTGGAGTTATGCTGAGATCCAACACTCACATTGCAATTAAAGAGCCGCTTGATTAATAATGATTAATTAATAAAGTTGTTAATGCTATGTTAACACTGACGTTGTTGCAGGGGTCGTGGCGAAATCTCAAAATTTAAAGTATGCGCTGATATTTTAGACCATTAAGAATTGCTTTATAAAAAATGTATATTTTAGCTGGGTATAATTATGTTGCAGTACGCTAGACCACGTTACATGTCTGACACCGTGGGTTAGGTGGATAAACTGTGTGTGGTGGACCTGGAATATGATGTTATTAAAGTTGGTTGTGGTCGCAATTCGCTTTAGGCTGTTTTTTTTTTAAGCGCGCTGGCTTAAATATTTCCCTTCGGATAATGATTTGGTGGAGTTGACCAAAACCTAGAAAGAAAAGTAACGTAGATAATTATCATAGTTATAACTAAACCTCTGTCGTTCTTGTGGCAACCGTTTGTTTCTTGCATGCTCCTTGGTAGTTGGTTGACATGGCTGAGGTATCACTCAAAAATACTCACTGCATAAGTCCATTTCTCATTGTATTATAAATGTATATTTTGCGGCTCCTTTAAGTTAAAGTCAAGTTCAAGAAATCCAGAGGATTCGTATTTTAATATTTTGTTTTTGCCCTGAAATGTTATGCAGTGTGGTGCAGTGTTACCCGTTTCTGTTTGTGTTAACCTGTTAGTCTGTTTCCTCCTGTGCGGAACCTGCTGATCAGTTTCTCTGTCCTTCCCTGCACAGACCCCCCTACCACCACCACCCCCACTTTCTGAGGCCCCTGGGCCCCCCTGCTCCCACCCCCCCCCCTTACATTACATAATGTTATGTATTCAAGGGCCCCTGTAAAGTGCTGGCCCCCCATGAATCTGCCAGGGTATCCATGCCCCTACACTGTCAGAAAAAAAGTACCAGTTTATACCTTTGAGGGTACAATTACTTTCCACTGGGCTTGTACCCTCAAGGGTATACCAGTTGTACCTTAGCTATAGATACAGAAATGGACTCCAATGGACATTTTTATGGAAGATTTCTGAGGAACAGATTCTAATGCAGTTTGTACCTTGGGGGACAAAGCTGTCCCAGGGCCGTATGCTTTTATCTGACCGCATAGTGTTTTCTCGTTACTTTAAACTCCTTGCTGTGCATTTAGTATGATGCTCATCCTTGACGTGACTTTTTCTGTCAGTCTCACAGCTTTTCGACCCGAGAGGACTGCCGGAGTCAGAGGAGGGACAGTGAGGCGGCAGCGTCTCTGGAGTTTATGGACTGGAGGTAAGGTGGTTTCAGACCAGCACCAGTGTGAGCCTCCCAGCTCAGAGCCTGGGCGATTGGATATGGACTCGGCTCGTGAGATTACTTGACGCATGTGTGGTCTGAGCGAGGTGCCGAAGTGTGTGTGACAGAGATGATGATGATGATTTGGGGGGGCTTTCAAAGAAAGCGGAAGGCTCATGTATGTAAACACACCCTCAGACACCCACGGACATGAAGACCGAGAACGCAGTTCCAGTAAAGTATCTGAATTAGGCCGTGTGGACCCATGTAAATTCCCCCTCATAACACATGGGGGTTTCACTTTCAGACAGAAAGGGAGAACGAGAAGGAGGGGGAGATGATTAAGCTCCCTCTGCTGTCGTGTCAGCAATTCCCGGGTAGCCTTACCACTCATCCCCACTCAGACGGCCTGATTCGCGGCCACGCCGCTGGGCAGCTCTCAGGACGCCAGCATCGGCTGTCGGGAAATGCGCGTCAGTCCGCCTAGCTGGACATTAGGGCGTGTCTCTCAGCACAAAGTTGGGCTGTGTGAATTTGGGCCAAATTGAGGTGGGGATGGAGGGTTAGGGGGGGCTAGATGGCTTCAGAAAACTCATTACGTTGGTCTTCTGCGTTTACGAGAAGAGAGGAAGTTATTTGCCTTACACTTCCTTTTTTGTCTGTCATATTCACAACTTTTTTTTCTTTTCTTTTTTTTTCTCTTGCATTAAGAACTAAGAACTATACAAACGAGAGGAGGCCATTCCGCCCATCGAGCTCGCTTGGGGAGAACTTAACTAATAGCTCACAGTTGTTAAAATCTTATCTAGCCCTGATTTAAAGGAACCCAAGGATTCAGCTTGCACTACGTTATCA